TATAACTGTTGAGTTTTTATGCAATGAACCTAGACTCTTTTTTAGCCGGATTCATCAAGACATTTCAGGAGTTACAAAAGGGTTTAAATTCAGAATTAAAATCAAATTTAATTTGATTTTCTTGTTGGACGAATTTACCCTTACTTCTAGCCCTATAAATAGAGAGTTGAATTCAGCTTCTCAACTCACTCTCTATATTTAGAATTCACTCTCCAAGTGTTTTCTAAAGTTATTCTCTTCGTGCTTTCCGATCAGAAGTGCAATACCACTAACAGTCCACTCCGGTTTCGGGTGTACGAAATTTGGAGCGACCATGTTAACCTCGGGGGATGATCCGCCTATTGTAGCGATTACACACATCGGGGCGAATTCTTTTCTAAGGCAGTGGTTAATACCACGACACGATTAATCGATTCTTTATTTATACATTTCAATATATATTTTTCCAGTCAATGCTAATGGCTCATTTTCCGGTAGTCTATTTTACCAACAATAGGTAGTCTAAAGAAGTTTAGGAACATGTAGTTCAAATTTGATTAAAAATAATTTAAAATGAAGAGAGATTAAAGAAATAAGAAAAATAAGAACTAAATCATAAAATAATCAATTTATTTTGGACCATAAAGAAAATTTAGTCATTTTCACCAAACAGAGGTGTCTAATTCATTCTCCTAGTTAGGCCTGTAAATGAACTGAACGTTCAACGAACCGTTCATGAACCGTGCGGCGGGAAGTTCGTTTATGTGCGTTTATTTATTAAATGAACGAACATGAACAAGATTTTGTGTTCGTTTAATTAAATGAACGAACATGAACATAGGTGTCGTTCGTTCATTTACGTTCGTGAACGTTCGGTTATGTTCGTTCGGTTATGTTCGTTCGGTTATGTTCGTTTATGTTCATTCATTTATGTTTAACCCAATATTCTTAAATCAATTTTGGTGATCAATTTGTAAGTATCTTAAAAATATTAATTAATCTGATATTCTGATGACCAATTTATGTTCATATATTCATTTTCCCCCGTTTTTCCCAAACCCTAGTGTTCACTGGAGAGTAGAGACGATCGCTGGAAGCTTCAAAACAAGTTATATTATAGTGCAATCTGAAGTTTTACAGGTTTGTTTTCATCTCTTTCTTTATTTTATTTGGCTTAATAGTTGATATGTAAAGTTATTGTGGGTATCTTCACATCTAAAACTCAAGAAAACATCATACTTCTTTCTAGAAATAGATGGGAAGATAAATGTAATAATCGGAAGTATATGAGCATCAGTAAAGAGAAAAATATATAGAATTTGTCATAAAACAAAACAAAGGTTTCTATGCAATTTTTGAAAAAGAGTGTAATAGCGGAAGTAATGGGTTTTCCAAAAAGAACACATTAATAAGTAGAAAATACATTTTGACAATGAACTTTTGTTTTCATAGTTCTTGTGTGGCCTTTAGTTGTGGAGTAGACTTTAGGTACGTTAAAACTTTGAATGGTGGTTTAGCAATAATATCAGTTACAATATGTAGCATCGAAGGGATTTCGGATCTATGTTATTGCCTTGTAGTCCAATTTGTACCGTTCGAAATCTTTATGCTATTAAATTTTCTACTCTGCCAACGGAAATGACCATTATTAACAAACCTCACTAAAGTCTGACATTGATGTCACAAAACTTTTAGCCAACGAATTTATTAGAATAACGTAGTGGAAAATGATTGCTCATATGTAATCATGGACCACTAAGATAAATGTTATAGCGTTAAATTAAAGTCGTGTGAATCATTTAATATCTTTAAAAGATCGATCGAAATATTTGGTATCTTCAAACATTTCATCACTGCTAATCAGCTCTTACGCTATTTATCACTGTAGATTTGGTTGATTTGCATTGTCGACTATTTTTCATGAAAGAACAATGGAAGGTAGGGTCTCCAACGTTTATGTTCGTTTATGTTCGTGTTCATTTATGTTCGTGTTCGTTTATGTTCGTGTTCGTTTATGTTCGTTTATTTATTAAATGAACGAACATGAACAAGTTATATTCCTTAATAAACGAACATGAACAAAAAAAAATTGTTCGTTTATGTTCGTGTTCGTTTATGTTCGTTTATTTATTAAATGAACGAACATGAACATACCTCCGTTCATGTGCGTTCGGTTCGTTTACAGGCCTACTCCTAGTTACGGTTAATTTGATCATTTCGATATACAAAAGCATTCTAGATATTTTAACCTACAAGGATATTTTCATCATTTTTACACCAAGGATATTTCTGTAATTAGAAGTATTTAGACTTTTCTAAACTCATTCATAAGCCTCAAAGATTATTTCACTCAATTCTCCATAATTTAGACCTTCAAACCTATTTATTAAGGTTAAGGAGCATTTTAGTAACTTACACCGCTTGAGTATTTTAATTATTTTATAAATTAGGATCCCCTATTAAGTGTGTGTATTCATTTAATGATATTGATACCAAAAAAGGGGCATCGATACCGAATTGATGATTTTGAAATCAAAATATTAAACTAGAATACCTCGAATCATTCTGTATCGATACTACTCAAAGGTTTGATTAAATAATCGATTTATCCTCTTTTTATAGAGTATTTTGACATCCAACTTTTATTTTAAGAAAAAATACATCTATTTTAGAACATTGATAGTTTGTTGACTAATGTTTTCTATCCATGGATGAGTCTTTTTGCCTCAAAATAAAATGTTGGGATAAAATATTAGAAAAAGGAATATAAATCAAAATAATTATTTAGTAAAATGTTAAGGATATTCTTTTATCATTATTCTTTTAAAAAATAATAAAAATGAATTTTAGATTAAAAAATAATTCTTAAAAATAAAAAGTAAACATTTAATTATATAATTCGATCATCATACGCAAGTATCGTTCAGATAAATAGCCCACTTGTTACTTGAAGCAACGTTCCTATTATTTGGGTATATAAATTGAGCTTGAATGAATAAGGTTATATTTGTATTCGTTTGTTTATTTTTGAAAATGATCATGCTCGTTTAAAATTTAATATCATGTTCATTTATTTATTGTTCGCGAACATGTTCGTGTTTGTTTATTTATTGTTCGTGAACATATTCGTCTATATGGTTTTGAACATGTTCATTTAGCTTTCATGAAATTGTTTGTTTATCGTTTGTTTATATGTTCAACTTTTTAGTTTTACCCATTTATTTGCAAGCCAAAGATGATGGTAAAGCTACACCACTAGTACTTAAACTCCTTAAATTCATGGTTTAAATTTCAACTCTTATCATGTGTTCGATTTAATCCCTAGATTCACTAATATTTAAAATGAAAAAATATCAAAGAAAAATGAGAACCGGAAACGAGCTTGTTCATGAACATAAATGAACGAGCTTATTCGTGAACATAAACGAAACGAACACGCATTTTCTCGTATTTGTCCATTTATTAAATGAACATAATTTTTTTTGTTCATACTTATTTATTTAACTTAACAAACGAACATTATACAAACGATTCATGAACAGTTCACTAAACACTATGTTGATTTACATTCCTACCTATTATACATGGCTTCATATGAAGTATTGGGGTTAAAACCCTATTTATATGCCATTTTTGCTTCGACCTCTTTAAGTAAAGGATTTACTGAAACCTAGACTTTACCTAGAAAAATCTTCAAATAAATTGAATTTATAGTGTAAGTTGTTAACGACAGAGATTAAACCCCAGAGCCCTGATATAACAGTCCATGGGCATTAAAATCAAGTGGGAACTTAATGATGAATTACTTTGTTGGGAAGTGTGAAAGAGCCATCATAAAAGAATCATACATCGGTTACTCGCATTAAAGCCAGATTGAAGACCTGTATTTTCAGTTCATCACATAACAGAAGAAGAAGCCACCTTCGTCTAATAGTAATTTAATTACTATTACTGTTCAAATCCCAACGCTCATGTTATCCATCGTGGGTTCAGAATGTTAAGATTCGCTGTCTGCCATCCCCATCCACTCTACCCCCAACCCCATTAACAAACAACATGGTACCCCCACCAGTATTATTCAACCCGACTAGATTTAAAAGGTTTATACTTTAATTTGACTCGACTCAAAAGTTCGTGAGATTAAAATGGTTAAGTTTAGTTCGAGCTCGAACAGACTTGAAACTTAAAATATTTTTCAATTAGAATTTGATTGAAGCTCGAACATAAACTTTAAGTATATAAAAACTCTATATTTCATTTAATAAAACATATATATGTTAATGTTATTAATAAAAATTAAAATTTTAATAATATATTGTTTTTCTAAGTTGCTTGGAATTTTTTGAGTTGTATATCAAGTAGATTCGCTTCGACTCGTTAAGAATTTGAGTCGTGTCTTGACTCAAATTGAATTCATTCTATTCAAGTATTGATCGAACTTGAATCAAATCCGTATATTTTATTATTTATCTCTTCTCATTTAGGGTTCTATCACCACCTGCCGATTTCCCTTGGCTCTTACAAATTATGCAAGTAATTTTACTCAACCAATGACCCCACCAGCAACATGTTTTTTTTAACAAAATGGTGGCAATTAATGATCTCTTCCTATGTTCGTATGGAAAGTAGCATGGCAAATTATATCTAAAATCACCTCAAGTCTCCATGATCTCATGATTTAAAAATGTCGGTTTGTTGTAAGTAGTCAAAAGTGAAAACAAAAAGAAGATACATACAGCATATTCCCACGAGTTTTGCCACTTTCATGGTCAAAGTCCAGAAAAAAATAAAAGAAATTTGTCCTACCTTGTAAGGCTGGGTAACAAACGACCCATCTACTACTAAAAGATTTGCTGGGTCTTTTACATATTTTTATATAATGTCAAAAGTTACTAATAAACTCCTAATCGTTAATTTAAACACTATTACATATTTAAATGTATTCCAACTAATTTTCACTAATCATCAACTAAAGAGCACCCTAAACACACGTACTGGACTTGGACTATACTCTAAAGCTAAAGCCCCTAAAAAATGTGGCATCAGCAATGCATTAGCTAGAACTTACGTGGCATGAACCCAAATTGCAGCTTAGAGGATGCACCGGCAGCATGCTTGACGGAGAACAGCCCATTCCATATCTCGGTGAAAGCTCTAACAATTATCCCGTGGAAATTGGGCGAATTCAGCTGCAAGAAGCAGTTTAGAAGCTCCTTCAAATCATCTTTCGAATATATCTCTTTCTCCAATATCATTTGCAACATGGAGTGCCTGAAATCCAAATAGGGGTCATCAGAGTCCTTTTTCACCGCCAAGCTATCTCCTCCGACGCGGCCAAACCCTCGTACGACCGCCGTTGGACACGTGGAGTCGTTGTCAATGTTCCAGTACCGAGGAGTGTGTGTGCTTGGAGAAAAAGAGGTGGCAGTTTCGCGTTCAGAGGAAGAACAATGGGTTGTTTTCTTGGACGAGGTTGAAGAAGAAGAGTAACCGTAAAAAAAAAGGGTTTTGTAAGGAGATTTTGGTTTTGGTTTAGGGTTGAAAAAAGCAGTGAGCTTGAGTTTCTTGCAGCTGCTGCACCCAAAGCTGACTGAGAAAGTGTTAAAGACCAGCTTCTTTCTGTTGCTCGACATTTTTTTTTAAAACAAATAGCTTACAAAAGAGTTGGATTCAAGAAGGGAGAGAGATAGAGATTGGTAGAATTTTGAGTTTGAGTTCAGAGAGAAAGGAAATGTGAAGATGGAGCCTAGGGTTGGTTTGGAGTTGGGATGAGGCAACATGGAGAAGTTGCCCATAAATATGCTGCACACGAGCTAGGAAGGTCCCAAGGGTGATAGAGTGACCCCACTGTGGTTTTCTAGTTTTATCAAAACTTGATCACAACCGTCAAATTTGAGTATTGTTTTCCATAAAAATGGCGTTAATTTCATCATATGTTCCCAACTATAACTCTCATTTTAAATTAGTTCTTAAACTTTTGAATGTTCTAATTCCATCCCTAAACTATGACTCTCGTTCTAGATTACTAGTCCTTAAACTTTTGAACATTCTAATTTCATCCTAAACTATGATTATCTTTCTAAATTACTCCCCAAATATTTGAATATTTCAATTTCATCCCCAAATTCATCCAAATATGTAATTAGTTTCAACCATAGTTTAACATAATTTTTTAAAAAATATAATAATATAACTTGGCCTAAAGATTATTAACAAGAGATGTGTATAATATATATGTATAGTTTGGGATGAAATTAGAATATTCAAAAAGTTTAGGATCGATTAGATTTCGGGTCAAGTCAATATCGGATTGGTTGATTTTCGATTTAGGTCAACCTTTAGATTAGGTCAATTTAGGTTGAATTGGTTATGAGTCTAATCAAAATCAAGTATATATAGAATAATTGATATATACTTGTAAAAATATGTCTTCTTATTTGTTAATTTTATCATTTAGGTTTAAATTTAATTCTCAATCGTTCAATATTTTGAATTAAACCATATTTAGAAATGATAAATCAATAATTTGATAATATGATCCTATAATAAGTGTTAGAATTTGTTATCAAAAATTTATATTGATCTCGTATGAAAAGTTTATAATGAGAAATATTTGATAAAGAAATAATTTTTATTAAATTTTTATTTCCAATTCTAAATTTAATATTTTTATTAAATTTTTAAAAAATAATACATAACTTTATTTGTTAAGTTTTAGTCGTAACATAAGTAAACTTGTTGAGTTAATCGATCGACGAAATAGCCAAGAGGAGGTGAATTGGCAATTAAAATTTTGGTGGAAGCTTTTGCAAAAAATAGAAAATAATTGCAAAGGTATTTAGAGTGGTTCGACTTTCTCAACCAAAGTCTACGTCCACTACCTTAACTATCCACACTAAGGATTTTCCACAAATTCACTAATTTGTCTTTCTTTTGAGGACAAAGAGTAACATTTCAAATCCCTCAAGAATTATACCCCAAATTCTTGAGAACACTCTTTCCCAAAGTGAACAATACAAATTTTGCAAACTTACAGAAAAACTTCACAAGGCAATATGTTTGCACAATTCTAGAACAAAGAAAGAACACTCAAGAATGAATATAATTGAGTACAAGTAGTGTTCTTGAAAGAAAAATGAATATTGAATGAAAAACCCGCTTGAAATGCTCAAACTTGATGTTTAAGGCTTTCTCTTTGATTCTCTCTTAATTCTTATTGATCAATGGCTTCAGAACTTGTTTAAATACACCTTGGATTGATTCTAGCCGTTGTGAATCATTTGGGTGATGTTAGAGCCATTGTAGTGTGAAAACCCTCTTGAAAAAGGTTGTTGGGAGAGTGGGGTATCAGTACCTCTTCAATGGGTATCGGTACCTTCAGTGTAAAATTCAAATATTTTGACCGTTAAATGACTAGGGGTATCGATACCTCTAAGGGGGTATCGGTACCCATAGGGCATTCTGTTTTTCTCTCAGAGCCAAAACTTGCATAGGAGTATCGGTACCCTATGAGGGGTATCGGTACCCTTCGGGCAATCTGTTTTTCTCGAAACCCTTCCTATTAAAATTTATTTTTGACTCGATTAAGGCTCGAAATACTTTGTAAAACTTTGTTTCAAAAATATTTTAAGATTGAAACATAATTTTACACTTAAGTAAGGATTGAAATTGACATTTGAAAAACTAAGAGTAATATTTTGATATTCGAATAATTTGACCAAATACACTTTAAAATGATTATAAAATCTTAAAACCCAATAACACTTAATTTGTTATATCGAAACATCAAAATGTTTTCATTAATCTCCCTCTTTTTGATATAACAAAACATTTTAGTAATTTTAAGATTTTCTATAAAAAATCATTTTTGAAAAAAAATTACTCCCCTTACTATAACATTTCTCCCCCTTTTTGTTAAATTAAAAATACTCTATAAACGTTGAAACAAGATTTTGAAAAATTAGCCAATTGAAATAGATATAGCTTAAGCTGATAAGATCAAAGTCAAGAGAAAGATTAGCCATTAGTTCCAGAAATCAATATTCATAGATAATGTGTAATGGTAATTGGTCATATGTGTCTAAATGATGCAAAATATAAAAATTAAATTGAAGCTCAAATAACTAATAATCATTCAAATATCATTTAAACTAAAAATAAACATTAAACAAACAATTTAAATATCCAAAATAATCCGAAAACATCCAAAACGTTTTTAACAATGAGTCCTAAGTTCGATCCAAGAAAAACTTAAAGCAAGGCATGCTCTAATCATCCAAAGGAGGATCGAGATGAGGAGGATGATGTGCTCGCATCTCGAGTGTGAACGCATCTAAACGTTCGTTCATCTCCCGTTAAAATCCCAATTGTTGAGCCCCCATAGCTGTTAAATGGGACTCTATGGATGCAAACCTTAGATCAAATGACTCAAAAAACGATCGAAAATATAGAGGCATTTGATCCTCTTGCTGTGCCGGCTCATCCTCGGGTGCTTTATCATCAATATCTTGCATAATTTGTTGAAACTCTGGATCATCGTCACTGCTGGTGCTGGAGGAGGTGGATCTCGTGAAGAAATAGCTCTCGGTGTTTGCTCAGTGGATAAACCCATTGATCACCTTCTTTCTTTCATCCCGATTTCTTTAAAGATGTCAAGTTGATTTCGTTTTTAAGAGGGATGGCTACATCAAGCCGTACTCTAAGCTTGGCTTTGATAAACAAATGACTTAGAAGATAATCGTAAACTAGAGTTCCACAAAGTTTCTTATTAGGGACAGGGTTTACGGTTTCAACGAGTTCAGAAAAGATAATTTGTGGTAGGTTTATTTTCTTATTATTCTGGATACAATGTATCCACCAAAGGTCTAAAGCTCTAAGAGTGGAGTATTTGCCTCCGGATGGTCTAAACCACCAAGAGATGATCAGATGGAGAAAACGATCGTGGTGATCTAACACACTCGCACTCGTCCTAGCTTTGTAATGAGAACCTATGATTTGTTTTTCATTATCTAAGCCAATATTATCTAAACCAAATGCGTTAGCAATGTAGTTCGAGTCAATATAAATGAATTGACCTAGAAGATAGGATCGAATTCGTATGGTTTCTTTTCAAGACTCGTTTTGAATACAAATGACATTGGAATAGAAAATTCGAACAAGTTGTTGGTAAACTACTGGTTCGAGTTGAAAAAGTTTGTCAAATTTCCAAGCTTGTAGGGTAGGAAGATATCTAAAGTTCAATGCTACCATAGCTTGAAGAGAAGGAATACGTTCTTCCCGAATTTTTTAAGACTCAAAGATATAGACAAACTTATGGTAAATATTATCCCTACGGCCAGGTTCGTTAAAACATGAGTTTCGAATTGTCATTTCGGGATCATCAATGTTAGGATTTTATGGTTAAATAGGAGGTGGAATTTGAGGTGGGTTTGGTGGTCGGTTTGATCGACTAGATGATGACCTAGGACGTTTATGAGACATGGTTCAAGAAATTGGAATAGAATAGATACCTGCAATTTTAAAACATATGTATGCAATACAATCAATTCCCAAAACTCAAACGAGTCCTCAATATTTCAAGGTTCTCTAAAATAATCCTAATGGGTAATTTTGAAAAATTATGTTTGAAAATCAATATGTAGCTTTCAAAGACAACATAATTAAATCAAAAACAACAATTTTAAAATCAAAACATTTTTTATTTCGAAAATTTCATAAACTTTTGAAAAATTTTGTGTTTTTGATGAAATTAGTTGTAGATTCTTGTTTTAAATCAAAATCTAAGCAATGCCCGATCACTATTTCAACCTAGAGCTAATTAAAACTAGTCCAATGCTCAAAATCAAGAAAAAAGTGGTTTTAGAAAAGTTACCTTGAAAGATGAAGATTGAGTGGATTTTGATGTTGTTTGCACAAAATTAATGATGCTAGCAGGATTATGAGTTGAAAACTGAAGAGATTCCGACTTGAAACGTTGATTTTGAGCAAAGATGAGAGTAGAGAGAAATAGAGGGGCGAACGGCTGTGAGGGTTTTAAGTTTGGGGGTTTTGAAAAAAGAAGAGATTAGGCATTTAATAACCAGAACCCGATGGGGTATCAGTACCCTTATGGGGTATCGATACACATTCAAAGGGGTATCGATACACGTTAAAGAGGTATCGATACCTAGTGCACAGAAAAGTTAAAAATCTGTATTTAATCACTCAAAATGCTAAATTGATTAGCTCTAGTGGTATTGGCAACTCATGAATATAAAATTAGCTATGTTCAATCAATCAAATCTATCCTTAAACATTATTTGAACATATAATTAATTTTCACTAAGAGTCATAAACTCCCCCTAACTAATAGCAAATAATGCAATCAAAAATATTATTTTTATAAGCATTTTTCATTTCTAATTAAAAGTGCTAAACTTATTTTAATCACTAAGTGAAGATAGGTCAGTTAAACCTAATTGTCTCCTAAGTGTCCAAAATCTTTCTTTATCTAAAGGTTTTGTAAAAATGTCTGCTAATTGATGCAAAGTATCAACAAATTCCAGAACTATATCTTCTTTAGCAACATGATCTCTAATGAAATGATGTCTAATTTCAATGTGTTTAGTTCTAGAGTGTTGGATGGGATTTTTAG